GACAGAGTGAGACCAGAGGAGCACTGAGCCCGACAGTGTGAGGTTGCTGTGAGCTATGATGATGCCATGGCACTCTACCCAGAGTGACAGAGTGACAGAGTGAGACTCTGTCTCATAAAAAAATAATAAATAAGTAAAACTACCCAAGTGAAAGGATTCGGACTGGCGGACTGGCCCTCCCTTGAGCCGGCAGTGTGGGAGAAGATGGTTATGTGCTAGTTCACGTCTGGGGGCTTTTACCCACTAAGCCTGGGACCGGAGCTGCCGAGAAAGTGAGTAGCCCTTGTCCAGTGTCAGAGTTACCTCTGTTCTATACATTCACTCTGGACTCCTCTTCAGCGTCGTTCAGTTCTGCTGACCCTCTCTGGGTGTCCTTTTTTTTCACCCTAAGCCAGTCCGCACTGGGACATGGTTTTCTGGTGTCCCCACAGTTCTTAGATGTATCTGCAGAGAGTTCCTGTTCTTTGATTACGAGCTCACACAGGTGTTTTATGAACGTGACCTTTATCTTGACATCCTTGCAGAAGCGTCTCCCTCAGTTTTCACCAGGGCCCTCCAGGGATGGCCATTCTCTTTTCTGCTCACTGCCACCATCTGCTGTGTGGCCTGACCCCTCTGTCCTGTGACCAGAATCCTCCTCCTGCTCAGCCCAGTCCCAGGGCTGTGGTGACCGTGAGCCAGTGGGAGACCTGTACTCAGTTCCTTTTGGCAAGAAGCGTGTTTTGATGATTAGGTCCAGGCTGAAGTGATTCCCTCCCTCCTTCCCTATCCTGCAGCAGGGAGAAGATGGGGACAATGGCACTTCCTGTCAAGTGCCTTTGGGGGCTGCCTCCCCCCCAGTGAGAGTGAAGTTTTTCCTCTTCACACTTGTCAGCCACACACTCTCTCTCCTCCATTGTCCTAGAATCTGAGAGACAGCAGGAAAGCCAGCGACCTTTCCTGTCCCAGCCTCTGTAGGCTCCTCCAGGGAGGCCCGGACCTAGATAGAGTCTCTCCAAGTATCTCTGAAGGACCAGGTTTTATAAACTCAAATTTGTGACAAATCAACGCTTTTGTAAAATGCAGTAGATACAAATTATTAGAAAAAGGAAATACAAACAAAAATTACAAGCCCACGGCCCTGTGCTTCAATGCTGAAGATGGCTACAGATGTTTCTCAGGCTTCCTGGCAGGGTCTCCACTGACCTGTTCCGGCCAGGAGCAGATGGGTCACAAAGAGGCACTGGTTCCCGGTGCTCAGGCTGACCTGGATGCCAACGTGTCATGTCTCTCAGAAAGGCCCTCCAGTGTCATCCTAAGCGTCCGTATCTCTTTCTGGACTTACTTAGATTGTCTCCACCATGAGGTGCAAAACGAGGAAGGAGAGCGAGAAACAGACGGAGAGGAAGAGAGGAGCCGCGCCGGCCAGCCCGGCGGACAGACCCGTGCCCTGGTTCCTCCCGCAGAGCCGCTCGCTGCCCGCCTCGCCGCTCCGGCCCGGCTCGGACCCGGCCTGCAAGGCCGGCCGCTCCTGCAGCATCCCCTGCGCCGCGCCCGCCGGCCCCCGGGAGCTGCAGGTGCGGCGCTCCGTGGACCTGGAGCTGGAGCGCTGCCGCCTACAAGCCGGCTTCCCCGCCCTCCGCGAGCGCGACGAGCCCGCGCCCCGCGCCCCCGACGCCGACACCGCGGAGCTGCTGGCGCCCACCCAGGAGGAGTGGAGGCAGGTGGGTGCGGCGGGGGGGACCCAGGACTGCTCGCCGCGCACCGCACCCGCTCCTGCCACGCAAACCAGGGCGTGTGTTTGCTTCTCTCTCTCTCTTTCTCTGTCTCTCTCTCTCATCAGTATTTGCCTAATGAAACCTGGAACAAAGAACGGAACCAAAGGAACCCCGAATCCCGGGAAGCCGTTGCCATTTTTTGTGTGTCAACAAGACCCCGCTGTAGCTGGGGGCAAAAGGGCCTGTTAACAGCTTCTGTCCTCTGTCGCCAGAGCTAAGAAGAGCTTCCCCAAATCTCCAGAACTGTGTCACAAGGCCAGTGCTGAAACAGGATATCCATGACCAAAGTTGAGTTCATGAAGAGAACTCTGTGTAGGCACAGAGTCAAATAACGAAAACGTTCTACATGTAGCTCTGAGGACTGTGACACAGCCAGCCACGTCCCAATGTGGCCTGACTTAGGGCGAGAACACCCTGCAGTTTCACGTGGCTGCAGGGGAGGTTGGGAAAGTGAGGTGCGCTCAGGAAGGGACGTCCCCACTGAACACAAGCAGGGCTCTGTCCGTGCTGGAGGAGGGGGAGGGTGGGTACCCAGTAGGGGCCGCAGTGCTTGCCACAGTAGATGGCTCAGGCACCAAAGCGGAGGGTGCACTTCACTGGGCAGGGCTGGCAGGAAGGTCCCTGAGAAGACAGCTGAAGACGTCCAGGGTGAGGTGATGACAGTGGCTTGTGTGGCTGTGCTAACAGCTACAGAAACCTGCGGGTATTTAACCTACAAAAACGGCAATTCCATATGGTCCACTCAGTAAAGAAAATAATTCAGAATTAAGCGCTAAAAGTAGTAGGCCAAAGGCTTGAGAGAGAGAAAGAGAGAGAGAGAGAGGGTGAGTTTAGGGTACATTCTCCGAGGGTTATTGATGTGGGTTTCACCAATTTAGAACTGAAATTTTAAAACATGAATCCCTTTTTTTGCAAAATGTGACTTCATAGTAATATGCTGATACTTACAAATCAAATGCAGTTTTTTTCTTAAAAGTAAATATGGGAAATATTAGCCGTCAGCAATCAGAATACACTCTTTTTCACCCGAGCTATGTTAGATTAACAGTGTTTTTCTGAGTAGTAACACTGGGGTAGAATCTGAACTGCTAGAAAAATTGCACAGCTCTTCTGCAAGTTCTTTTTAAAATTTTAAAATTAAGAGATAAAATATCTGATTGTAGTTTCCCAGGATCATAACTGGGGTCTTGTGAAGGCTGCAGGAGAGTCTCTCGTGCCAGTCCCAGGACCTCCATATCCTCTTTGGGACAAGGGTCCAGGAGCCTGGGGCGCTGGCACTGACGGAAGACTGTGGGCCACAATTCAAGCACCTTTCAGGACCACTGTATGTGTTTGACACACTGTCCTGTCACATGAGGTTTATTTTAAAAAATGTAGGTATTTACTTGTCAACTAATCTATACATGCACACACTCATTTTGTGAGTAATCAAAAATTCTGGAAACTTCGGGTCCCCAAATATAAATGTATGTCAGATATCTATTGCATGGAAATTTACTCATGTGTTTTTATTCAAGTACATTCTTTCTCTTCTTCTTCCTCCTTCTCTCCCGCTTCTTCACCCCCGTCTTTTCACATGAATGCCTCTGAATGAGTATCTGTCTAGTTTTAGGAGAGAAACCACCTGGGTCTTTTCAGGTTGTCGATATCCTGTGGAGTGATCCTGTGGCTCAGGAGGGCTGCAGGGCCAACACTGTGCGAGGCGGAGGCTGCTATTTTGGTCCTGATGTGACAGAACAGTTGCTACAGAAATACAACCTGCAGTTCCTGATCCGGTCACATGAATGCAAGCCCGAAGGCTACGAATTCTGCCATGGCCGCAAGGTGGGTGAGGGCTCTGCAGCAGCACAGCTCTGTGTGTCCCCACAGTGGTGCCAGTGGCTCTGTCTGCATGAGTGAAGGCTCTCGGTTTCCATGACCAGCTGTGTCTAGTATTTGTTGCCCACTTGCTCAAAGTGATGAAGTCCTTGATAGCTTCTTTCAAACTCAAAATTTGGTTAAGGCCACTGCTCACTGGTACCTGGAGTGTAAGCACCAGATATATTCCCATTTTATGGATGGGAATAGGAGGCCAGTGTTCCCAGCCGTGTCGCTATTGCCTAACTTAATGCCACTAGGATGGGATTCTGTATTCACAGGGTACTGACTCTACAGGGGAATAACAGGTTTCCATGCATAAAATGATTTGGGCTCAACTAATACAAGAAGTGATTCATGAAATGGTCGTGCTGTACAAGTTTCTTTATTGCAGAACCTCTGAGAACCTTTAATTTCCCATGTTCATTATAAATTTCCAGGAAGAGATACAGCGTCTAGCACTTCCCAAAGTATTGACAAAGGAAACTCATTTCACACAGCACCTTGGGAGGCACAACTGGCCAAAGGACACTCCACTTTAGGGGGTAACATCAGCTTTTCAGAACTGACACAGCTGCTGGTTGTAGCGGCCACCCCAGTTTATCACACCTAGCCCGCCTTTGCGTTGAACTAAATGAGGTGTTTTCTATGACGTGGTACCTGGAGGGATAAAATAAATATTTTTATTTTCACTTGGGACAAAATTGTGAAGGAAACATGTTGTGGAAGTCCTATCAGAGTTTAAGTTTCTGTGACTTGAGCCACAACTCCTGCCCTATTAGCATTTATGACTTAAAGAAAAGAAAGAGGAAGAATGAAAGAGAAAGAAAGAAAGGGAGAGAGGGAGGGAGTAAGGGAGAAAGGGAGAGAGGAAAGGAGGAGAGAAAGGGGGGGAGGATGAGGGAAGGAAGGAAGGAAGGGAGGAGGGAGGGAGGGAGGAAGGGAGGGAGGAAGGAAGGACGGACGGACACACGCACGCCCGGCCCACAGATGCACAGAGGCACAGCAGTCTCTGAAGTTGGGTTGGGCTGGACCGGATCAAGGATGCTGCCTTTTTCAGTAATGGTAAATGCCTGTCTCTCTCTTGTTTTGGTTTAGGTATTAACCATCTTTTCTGCCTCCAACTACTATGAAGTTGGCAGTAACAGAGGGGCCTATGTCAAACTAGGACCAGCCCTGACCCCACATATCGTGCAGTACCAAGCTAACAAGGCGACCCACACGCTAACCATGAGGCAAAGGCAAGACTTCTCCAATGAGTACTTTTCAGAAAAAAATGTAGTGTTTGTAGAACCTTGGAAGTGTCCAATATCATTACATTTATCTGAATTCTACGTGAGAACTGGGAATGGACATTACAGCAGGGGTCTCTTCTCCATATACTTTTTTGTGTCTACTTACCATCACTAATGGGAGGAACACATTTGTTTCCTGCAGAAGTTATTTTCAATGGGTGTTTCCTGGGTAAAGCCATATCCCAGGCCACAGAGTCTTTCTAGGGTTACTCTTCTATTTTCTCTCATCCTTAAGTCCTGTGTGTTACCCCATAAACCAGCACCAGAGGTTCCTTCACTATCTGGAAATTTGGCAGATGAATTTGGTGCACACATTTAACAATGCCTCTTGTGGCTGCTGAGATGATTCTGAGTTATAACCTTAGATGGGAGCTTACTTTTAATACATACTGTTATAAAGAATATACGTATGTCTCACAGTGAACTTATGAATTACATATTGTCGTTAATTTCAGTTTACAGATAAGATCATTAAAGAACAAAGGTTAAGCCAGCTGGCCTATGGTCACCCAGCTAAGAAGTGAAGGTGGGCCTTGATTGAGGCAGTCTGATTTCGGAACCGACACATTTAACCACTATGCAGTGCTGCCCGCTACAGAGGGGATGGCCTCAGAGAATAGACAATGCTAACAGGTGCAGTGTTAGTGCCACCGGACAAGCTTCTTTTTATTTTATTTGATATTTTATTGTATTATTTGACAGAGTCTAGCCTCTGTTACCCAGGCTAAAGTGCTATGGCTTCAGCCTTGCTCGTAACAACCTCAGACTCCTGGTGAACAAGCTTCTTTAATTATTTAGCCTAGAGTAGAAATCAAAATAGACAAAGTTGCCACAAGTCAAGAAGATAGAGAACAGCACATTAATATTTAGCATTTAACCCCATGGTGCTGTGGAGGTGTATTATTTTAAATCACTCAGGGTTATTAAACACAGGCCAGCCTCACCCACAAAGAAGAGTCACGGGAAAATAAACCCGCCACGTGAGTCAGACACGCCAGCAGCAAGTCATCTGCTCAACTTCCTGAGAAGTCAGCGCCTGAGCCTCCCTCACCTCCCTCACCTCCCTCTCATTAGGGACCAGGGGCAAGGCTGGCGCCTGGGACACCTAATTCCATAGGATTTAAGTTGTCACATTACAGAAGGCATCACGACAGGGAATCCTGTATATAGCTGCTCTAATAAGATCAGCAGAGAATCTTCAGCTCTTGGAAATGTTCACTGACTGCATTCTTAAGCACCACATCACCTAAGTCACCCAGAAGTCATTTACTCAATGACGTCAGCTGTGCTAAGCACAGCAGAGAACCTGGACATGAGGGGCCCTGACTGGGCAGCCATAAGTGACGTCTCAGTGTCCATAACTCAAGAAAACACTCGTTCCTTAGAGGAACACTTTCCTTTGTGTTTAAATCCACTCTCATGAGAGTGGCATAGCCAGCGTGGGGTCCAGCTGTCCAGATGGACTCCTGGCCACATCCCTTGTTAGCTTTGTGACCTTGAGGTCATTATCCTGTTTCTCTTTCCCTAATGGGCACAATGATCATACCTACTTCAGTGGGTGCTGGGGGATTAATGAGCTGTGCATTTAGCAAGTGCTTAATATATGCTGCCTGCCATAGAGCTTAGGAGCCTTGTACACCCAGATGGCTCCTGAGAACATTGCCATGGTCCCTCCCTGCATAACTATTCATGGCTATGGTTTACCAGAAAAAAGGCTTTAATGCTTTGCCTGAATAGTATTTTTTAAATGTTTTGGGATTCTATACTTCTTTTAACCTCTGACAAAACAGCAAATTCCAGAAAAAGCACATATGCTCACATACCCATGAAATGTGGGATGAGTTTTAGGTGGTTCACAGTTTTTAAAAGTCTGTTATGCTAAGTACCTTACACTGCAATGAAGACTTTTATCAACCATGGTTAAAATGCTTTATTAAAAAGCATTTTTAATAAAATGCTGGGGAAGATAGGATATCTGATTGTTATTTACAGAACGACTGGTTCCTCAATGAGACATTTCAAATAAAGTTTGTTTATCTTTTATCTCTTTTTATATCTATTTTTTGTACTCAACTACAGATATTTATTGAGCACTTACTTTGGCCCAAGTGCCGTGTCTAGGATTACTTTACTGACCCAGTAAGAGTGGGAATATTAAATTCATGTTATTTCACTATTTATAAATCTTGCCTTCTGGCTGTTTAGCATAACAATACATTATAAGGAAAGCATGACAATTATGAAAACACAACATTTTCCGAATATTTTCTGTGTGCCTGGCTTTCTTCTAAGCACTGTGCATGCCTTTTACCCATTTATCCTTCATCATAACCCTGTGAGGCAGAGGTGGATACCAGTCTTATCCATATTTTACAGATGGGGAGATTGAGGTTAGATACTCCACCATGAAGGTGATCTTTCTCCAGAGCCTCTTCTCCAACCACTGTCCTGTGCTAGCAAGGACAGCAGTGGTCCCCAAACTGGCCCTGTTTGTGCATAGCAGGAAAAGTGGGGAGCTCTTTCTCCCCAAACCGAGCTCTCGGCAGGGGGAGACATTAAGAAATAGAGAGGAAGGGGGGAGGGAGGGGGGAGAGGGTGGAGGGAGAGGGATTCGAGGGTTCACTTCTGTGGTTCATCTTGCAAGGGTACAAGTGAATCTTTCTATGAGTAGACTATGAATGTTTTGACATAATAACTAAGAAAGTTACATGAAGGCTATGTTAACCAGTTTGATGGAAATGTCATGGATTATGTGTGAAAACATCACACTGTACCCCCAAAGTGCATCAATGTACACAGTTACCATTCAATAAAAAAAAAAAAAGAAAGAAATAGAGAGGAGAAAAGTGGTAAAACCTGTGACTTTTCTTTAATACTAACTTTTAAAAATATTCCTTCTCATCTTCTGTTCCAGGATTAGCAGAGTAGAGGAATCCGCTCTGAGAGCTCTTCGAGAAAAATTATTTGCTCATTCCTCAGATCTTCTTGGTGAATTTAAGAAGTATGATGTAGAAGCAACTGGTAAGGAAAAGGCCCATAGAGAAAGGAAGCTGACCAGAAGACCTGTCTCTGCACCTCATATTTATTGAATGAATGAATGAATGAACATAGTCACTTCACTACTTCTTCCACTTCATTCAACTTAATGAACATTTATCTTTTTCTAAATTTTGAAGTTCTGAGCTTTAAACAGAATATGAACTTGGCCAAATATAGATGGAGATGGTGAAAAAGAAATGGAGTCAGGGCAGGGTGAGGCTAGAACTGAGCAAAAAACATGGGAGGGGAGGGGACAAGAGTACATTTCAGACCAGCAGAAGATCTAGGACTTGACTTGTGGTTGTTGTGTGTTTACCTGTTCCACGATCTACTATCTAAGCTCAAAATTCGGTCTTTGCCCAACTCAGTGAAATGTATAATGGACGTTTATTAAATATAACCCTTTTTAAAAATTGCTGTAACATTTATAAATTCCTAGCAATATTCTCTCGTCTACACATATTATAGGCTTCTAAGAGTTTTAGTGAATACTGTATTCTAAGGAATTTAGAATTTTTTTCTTTTGTTTTTTTTTTCTTTTTTTGAGACAGAGTCTCACTTTGTTGCCCTTGATAGAGTGCCGTGGTGTCACACAGCTCACAGCAACCTCCAACTCCTGGGCTTAGGTGATTGTCTTGCCTCAGCCTCCCAAGTACCTGGGACTACTGGCGCCAGCCATGACGCCCAGCTACTTTTTCTATTTTTAGTAGAGACGGGGTCTCGCTCTTGCTCAGACTATTCCCAAATTCCAGAGCTCAGGAGATCCACCTGCCTCAACATCCCAGAGTGCAGGGATTATGGGCATGAGCCACCTCACCCAGCCCAAATTCAGGAGATTGAATTAAGAACAACAGCCACCATCTGTGCTGCGTGTGTGTCCTGTTTTCTGACATTATTTACATAAGGCTTGTGTAGCTTCCAGTGTTGCCAAGTTTAATAATAAAAAATTCAGCATGCCCAGTGAGGTTTGATCTAGACAGATAAATAGACAATGAGTAATTTTTGTGCAGTCTTTGGCACATATTTTGACTGTGTCGTTTGCTTGGAATTCAGCTTCACGTGAATCCTGTGTTTTAATCTTGCAAGTCCAGTTTCCAGCCATCTCTGCCACGGCCAGGAGAAATAGTGACAGTGCCTGCGACTATTATCTCTCTAACTTACAGGCAGAAAGTTGGGCGAGAAAGTAGGCTTAAGGGTGACAAGTCTGCAAGTTGGCTTTCTGCTGCAGGTTTGATCCCCCTGAGCGACTGGGCGGCAGCCGTGGAGTCCGTGCTGCGGCTGGGCCTGCCCTGGCGCATGCTGCGGCCGCAGCTGGTGAGCAGCTCGACAGATAACGCGCTGGAATACAAGTCCTGGCTGGACGACTTGGCCAAAGAGCAACTGAGCCACGAGGTAATGGTGTGGAGAGGGGGATGCACGTGTGTTCTGAACTACGAAGCCCTTTACAGAAAATTCGGAGTGGGAAATAACCACTGAATGAGACCCCAAAAGGCAGGATGGGGAGAGATAGGAACAGGCAGAGTTGTTTGTGTGTGTCAGACTTTGTGTGAAGTGACTGACACCTGTTGCCTTGGTTAGTCTTCAGAACCACCCGAGAGGGGAGTATTATTAGCACTGTCACACTGTCATTAATTAATTAGAACTTTGCGTCGCAGAAGTTGTAAGTCGAGATTGAACCCAATCTGTCCGACTTCAAGGCCCAGGTTCTATCCTCCACAGCCTGCTTCTTCTCCCATTTTAAAAAAGTATTTATTCAATACATATTTATTGAATATGTAATTATGTGAGATCTTGGCTAAGTGCTTTTTATTTTTTGAGACAGAGTCTCACTTTGTGACCCTTAGTAGAGTGCGGTGGTGGTGTCACAGCTCACAGCAACCTCAAACTCTTGAGTAGCTGGGAATATAGGCACCTGTCATAATGCCCAGCTGTTTTTAGAGATGGGGTCTCACTCTTGCTCGGGCTGGTCTCAAACTTCCGAGCTCAGTCAATCCACCCACATTGACCTCCCAGAGTGCTAGGATTACGGGTGAGAGACACCTCGCCTGGACAGCTAGGTACTTTTACAAAACAAATTTATGAACTATAATTTACGTACTATGCAGTTCATCCATTTAAAGTATACAATTCAATGGTTTTTAGTATATTTGCAGGTAAGTGCAACTAGCACCACAGTCAATTTTAGAACATTTTCATTATGAGGTGGGAACTTCTGAAACCACAAGATTAAGCGGAAGCTGAAGAGGGTGGCTGGGGTGGAGGATGGTAAAATACCTTCAGGTTATTTCAAGAGCAGGTGGTTGTCAGGGTTGATTGTGTGTTAACTGTATGTTAGGACAAGCCTAAACATAAGTCATGGAAAGGAAATGAGATTTTTTTTGCAGAACATACAGTCCAGTTTGCTGGAAAAACTGTATAGAAACCGATCCAACCTGGAGACCATTTTTAGGATCATAGACAGTGATCATTCAGGTAAGACACTCACCATTCTGTCATTTCTGATGCACAGAGGGTCTTGTACCTCAAACCCCTCAGTTTTCTTCCTAATTTGTCCGGATTTATCTCCACTTAGGCACTCTGGGAAAAAGTAGGTAGAAGCAATGCTTACAAATGTCAAACACTAATAAAGTACTTGGGCAGTACAAGCGCCCCATGTGGAAGGGCAGGGCAGGGCAGAATGAAGGTGAACTGAATGAGAGCTTCTTATAGGAAGAATAATTTCTGGAAGACGTGAGATCCTTTATAGTTCCATCAAAGATAGCTGCACATTAATGAGGATTGCCTAGAAGAGAAAGGACTTTGCAAGAAATAAAAAAAGGAAAGCATTTTTTGAAAAATACTTTAAATTTTGAATAATTATAGATTCATGGGAAGTTAGAAAAATATATAGGGAGTGCACAGCTAAGGACACAACAATTAAAGCCAATAGATGATCTTCAGGATGGGAAAAGATATTTGCATGTTATGAATCTGACAAAGGGTTGATAACTGGAAATTACCAAGAACCAAAATCAATCAATGAAAGGGGAGCGCGCAATCCTATCTATCACTGAGCAAGAGACATGAACAGAAACTTTTCTGAAGAAAACAGATGAATGACCAACAAACATATGAAAAAATGCTCATCATCCCTAATCATCAGAGAATTGCAAATCAAAACTACCCTGAGATATCACCTAACCTCAGGGAGAATAGCCCACGTCACAAAGTCCCAAAGCTGTAGGTGCTGGCATGGATGTGGAGAGAAGGAAACACTTTTATACTGCTAGTGGGACTGCAAACTAATACAGCCTCTTTGGAAAGAAGTATGGAGAACCCTCAAAGAACTCAGAATAGACCTTCCATTTGATCCTTCAATCCCATTACTAGGTATCTACCCAGAAGAAAAAAATCATTTTAAAGGCATTTGCACTGGATTGTTTATTGCAGTTCAATTTATAATTGCCAAGATGTGGATACAACCTGGGAACCCATCAACCCAGGAATGAATTAATAAACTGTGGTGTATGTACACAATGGAATACTATTCAGCCATAAAACAAGATAGAGACTTTACAACTTTTATATTAACCTGGATAGAGTTGGAGAACCTTCTTTTTAGTAAAGTATCACAGGAATAGAAAAGCAAGTATCCAATGTACTCAATACTATTAAGAAGCCTTTGTGTCTGTATATTTCCTTTAGCATAATAATTTCAGGGTTCACTCCAGGGAATGGATATACCACCTTTTGTTTATTTGGTCATGAGTTCATAGACATTTGGATTATATCCACTTTCTTTGCCTATTATGCTCTGTGCATGATGCTTTTATGAACGTTCATGTATGCTTTTTTGTGTGAACATGTATTTTCAGGAGCACAATTGTCAGATCATATGGAAATTCTATGTTTGACTTCTTGAGGGATTGCTAAACTGTTTTCCACAGCGGCCATTCCATTTTACATTCCCACCACTAAAGTATGAGGGTTCCCATTTCTCTACATCTTCACCAACATTGTTATTTTCCTTTTTTGTTTTTTAGTTTTTGTAGTAGCCATCTTACTAGGTATGAAGTATCACTTTATGGTTCTGACTTGCATTTCCCTAATAACTTATGATGTTGAGCATGCGTTTGTGTGCTTTTATCCATTCCTATAACTTCTGTGGAGCAATGGCTATTCAAATCTTTTACCATTTAAATATTGGGTTATTGGTCCTTTTATCTGAGTTGCAACAGTTATTCATATATGCTAGAGACAAGGATTTTTTTCTGATTGAAATATTTGCAAATTTTCCTTCTGATTTTGTGGATTATCTTTTCACTTTCTTAGGATTATCCTTTGATGCACAAAAGTTTCTAATGTTGAAAAATTTAATTTATCTTTTTCTTTTGTTAATTGTGCTTTTGGATGTCACTGCTAAGAAAGTCTTGCATAATCCAGGGTGACAAAGGTTTACACTTATGTTCTCTTCTAAGAGATTTCTAGTTTTAGCTCTTACAGTTAGGTCTTTGATCCTTATTGAGTTAATTTTCTTAATATAGTGAGAGGCAAGGGTCTGACTTCTTTCCTTTGAATGTGGGTATCTAGTTGTCCTCCAACCCCATAATTGTTGAAAACAATTCTTTTCCCATCAAATGATACTGAAATCCTTGTAAAAAATAGATTGACCATAGATGTATGCTCCAAAGATGTAAGGCTTTTTATAAGTAGAATAAATTAGTTTACATTTGAGATTATTTAAAACAGGGTTTCTCTGCACTGGTACTACTGATATAATTCTTTGTTTTGGGATTTATCTTATCTTGTGCATTGTAGCATATGTCACAGATACCCTGGCCTTAACTGCTGGAAGTTAGCAGCACCTCACCCCCACCCCAGTTATGACAAACAGAGATTTGTCTCCACACATTGCCCAATGCCTACTAGAGGGAGGGGAGCAAAGCTGCTCCCAGCTGAGAACCCTTGACAGGCCACTGGTTCCATGGGATCCTCTTGGGAGGTTAAGCTAGCCACTAGGCCTTGGGTGCTCTTGTCTGCTAAACAGTAAGGAGCAGGTGCCTTGTAAGGATGCTAGAGGAAATGAACGTTGAAAACTAGACGATTCACTGAAGTGACTTCCTCTGTCCGATTAGGGTTCATCTCCCTGGATGAGTTCAGACAGACCTGGACGCTGTTCAGCTCTCACATGAAAATCGACATCACGGATGACTGCATCTGTGGCCTTGCTCGGAGCATCGATTTCAACAAGGACGGCCACATCGACATCAACGAGTTCCTGGAGGCCTTCCGCCTTGTGGAGCAGTCCTGCTCAGAGCGCGATGCCTCAGGCTGCCCACAAGCCACACACACTAATGACAGGCACCACGGCAGCCCGGATGCGCGCTAGGAGCAGCCTGGTCGCCGTCGCCCACGGTGCCTCACAGGCAGGCTGAGCATGTGGCTGGAACACCTCCCTGCTCTGTGTGGATTGGGGGACTTCATGCTGAGGAGCCACCTACCGCGTGCATCGCCATCACCCATGCGTTTGGATGTGGGTGGTGTGGCATGCGTATGTGTTTGTGAGTGCACAGGTGCCCAGTCCCATCTCTGTATCTTTACAAAGTAGAACTCAGGGAAAAGTGTTTTTAAATTCTGAAATTTAGTCAAGCTAAGAGCCATTGATGATCCATCCCTTCATGGTTTTTCTTTTATACCTTTTATTTATTGTTTTTAAAATGTCAGTTGGTAAAGAAAAGTGATGAAAAATTGGACATATAGTCCCATGACCCAAACACATGGAATTTTTCATTATTTACTTTTTCTTGTAACCACAGTGCTTATATAATTTTATGTTTTTCTTTTTTAAAAAATAAATTGACATCTAATTGTACATACCTCCCCATGATACTACGTAGTGTTCGTGATCTAACAGGTACATAACTGGACTCTGTTCAGCCATTCTCTAGTTGTTAAACATATGTATTCTTTCTACTTTTTGATTATGATAAATAACACGGTGGTTAATAACTTCATACATACAGCTTGTTTTACACAAATCTTTTGATTTGTACATTGTTCTTAGTGTACAATCCCAGGAATGGGATTGCATTGTGGAAAGATGTCGCATCATTTTGGGTTCTCTAGTGAAGCAGAGCCAGTAGACTATCCATGTACTAAAGGATTCAGCTCCCGTAATTATGGGAGCTGACAAGTCCTGAGGTGTGCGATCCACCAGGAGAACCAGGACAGCTGCTAGTGTAAGTTCCGGTCTAATTCCAAAGCCTTAGAATCAGAAGAGGCAAGGATGTAAGTTCCAGTTTGTGTCTAAGTATTAAGGAAAAGACTGATATCTTAGCTCAAAGACAGACAGAGAGAACAGCTCTTTCTTCCTGGGCTTTTATCATAAGCAGGCCTTCAGCAGACTGGGGAGGACAATCCCCTGTACTTAGTCTCCTCCAGAAACACCCTCCAGACACACCTCCAAATAATGTTTCCCAATGGGCGGCGCCTATGGCTCAAAGGAGTAGGTAGGGTGCTGGCCCCATATGCCGGAGGTGGTGGGTTCAAACCTAGCCCTGGCCAAAAACTGCAAAAAAAAAAAAGTTTATCCAAATATGTGGGTGTCCCATGTGAACATTTTGTGAACAAAGGTACATTTAGCTGTATCTCCCGTTTTCTGCGTGTGGACACTGTGGGCAGCTTGCGGAACACCCTGCAGTCCATTTCTTCACACACCCCCCATAAATCTTTATGCAGCACCTAATGACTAGTCAGCACCAGATGCTGTGTCAGGCACTGCAGATACAAAGATGAGCGGGACATTGGCTCCACTTTGTCTAATTCAGTATTGCTCAAACTTGGATGCATGTTAAAAAATACTTAGGCCTGGCTCAGCGCCTATAGCTCAAGCGGCGAGGGCGCCAGCCACCTACACCAGAGCTGGCAGGTTTGAATCCGGCCCAGGCCTACCAAACAGCAATAACAACTACAACCCAAAAATAGCCAGGTCTTGTGGCAAGCGCCTATAGTCCCAGCTACTTGTGAGGCTGAGGCAAGAGAATCACTTGAGCCCACGAGCTGGAGGTTGCTGTGAGCTGTGACGCCACAGCACTCTACTGAGGACAACATAATGAGACTCTCTCTGTCTCAAAAACAAAAAACAAAAAACAAAAAAACCTAGGCCTGGATGTCACTCCAGAACACTTAAAGCAGAATCTTGGGGCAAGGATCATGGGCAATAAAGTCTTTAAATAAACCTTCAAGGTTTATTACTGATTCTACTGTTTAGCCAGGCTTAAGAACCATTTATGTAACTGATCTTAGATCAATGACTAGTTCTGAGACGGCCATCAAGAGACTGGGTTTATGAAGTTCTTAAGCAACTTTAATGAGCAGAGGTGCCTTCTAGTTCACACCCTGGAAACACAGACCAGGTCAATACCCTGGCAGGCCACAGGCCCCACCTGACCTGCCAGTTGCTGACACAGATCAGCAGTTTCAGTCATCCCCAGTGGAATGTTCTGTTGCGTTTCTCTCCCTTAAGGGTACTTTATACTTTCTGATCAAACAAACTCTGGGGTCTTATACCAGCCAGACTTCCACATTCACTTTTCACATCTCGCCTTCCTGAGTTTGCATCCAATTCACACTGAGCTCTGAGACCTTTGGGTTTGAGGCAGGAAAGCAGCTTTGCTTGGCTGCACCCCGCCCCAGGTTTCAAAGGGAAGTCTCATGTAAGGACACAGCGAGAACCTCTAACTCAGAGGACTTTGCCCTTAATCAGAGCAAGGATGATGGAACTACAGGTGCAGGGAAAGCGGCTGCAGCTAAAATCCTAACGGAACATCAGGACTCCCAGGTTTTCATTAGGAAAAGGAAACACTGGGGGCTGAGCTCAGCTGCAGCTTCAGGGACTAGAACTGCCGGCCTGGTCACTCCCAAACCAAAGATGATTTGCTGTTGTGTAACAGCACAGCAGAGCCCCACAGCCCCCTGAGGACCCCAAGTGCTGCTGATTTATTCTGGGGAGGACCTGGAAGTGAAGGGGGTTTGGAACCCTCACGGACAAGCTCACTGAATACTGGCTGGAGGCCCTGGATTTTCACATAAAGAGGATTTTAACTAGGAAGAGAATTTTCTAAGTTACTGTCTTTACCTAAGCATAAGTTTGGAATCAACTGTCCAATAAAATACAGAGAAAACATAACAGAATTTGACAAATAGTTAACAGATTTAATGTGTTAGTGATTAATGATTAGAGATTAAAACGTGATTTCTGGAATTCCTCCTCACATTGCCTCACACACTTCACCCTCAATTAAGAAAACTACTTGATTTATACACTTCAGAAAAATGAGATGCCTAAAGATGAAGTTTTTATCCACATGACTGATAGTCTCTGAATTCATCATCATGGTACTTTTATAGCCATGGTCTAAGCACAGTTCTCTATACCTGGACAAAGATCAGCTTTGTGAAAAATGCTGAATTAGTCCCAGCTAACCAGGAGGCTGAGGCAGGACAATCAGTTGACACCACGAGTTCAAGGCTATTATCACACCTGTGAACAGCCACTGCCATGGAGCCTGGGCAACAGAGCAAGACCCCAGCTCCAGGAAGAGAAACATTCTGAGTGGGAGTCCCCAGGAGGAGCCCCCTTAACTTGTAGATGGCATGATCCTTCCCTATGGCTGCTGTTACAAATACTGCAAACTTTGTACCTTAAAACAACACAAATTTATTCTGGAGAATTAGAGGTTTGAAGTCCCACACAGGCCTCACAGGCTAAAACCAGGCAGCCGGCAGCCCTGCCTTCCTCTCTGGGGTCTGGGAGATAATTCCATTCCTGCCTTTTCCGACTTGTGGGCTGCCCGCGTGCCCTGACGTGTGGTCACTTCCTCCATCATCAAAGCCAGCAAAGGATACTGGGCATCTTCTCATATCACCAAGTCTGACCTCTTCTGCCCCCTTTCCACTGCTAAGGCCCCTGTGATTCCAGGAACCACCTACATAACCCAGGAAAGGTCTCATCATCTCAAAGCCCCCCCAGTTAATTCCATCTACAAAGTCCCTTTGATACATAAAGTGATGTTCAAGGGTCCAAAGATTAAAACCTGGACATCTTTGGGGAGGGCTATTATTCTGTCCCTCACTGATGGCTCCAGATAAACCTGAGGTCCTGTCCACGGCCTATTTGGGAATCTCTGGTGGATGTCAAAGGCTCAGCTCATTTCCTCTCTCTCAGTCCCAGGCAGCTTTCCTTGTAATGAAGTTCCTGCAGCTGCCCCCCACATTTCTTTCCCTTCTTACTCAACCCTGCACTTCAGTGGGAAGGGACATTTCAAGATGGTTTTGGGGGCTCAGCGCCTGTAGCTCGAGCGGCTAGGGTACCAGCCACATGCACTGGAGCTGGCAAGTTCGAATCCAGCCTGGGCCCAGCAAAATGACAACTACAACCAAAAAATAGCTGGGCATTGTGGTGTGTGCCTGTAGTCCCAGCTACATGGGAGGCTGAGGCAAGAGAATCGCTTAAGTCCGAGAGTTGGAGTTTGCTGTGAGCTGTGACGCCATGGCACTCTACCCAGGGCAACAGCTTGAGAATCTGTCTCAAAACAAACAAACAAACAAAAAAACAGAAACAAGATGGTTTTGGGGGTTTGTTGGGAGACAGTCTCACTCTGTCACCCTGGGTAGAGTGCCATGCCCTCAGTCTAGCTGACCAGCAACCGCAAACTCTGGGGCTCAAGCCAACATCCTCCTGCCTCAGCCTCCCAAGTAGCTGGGACTTCAGGCACCACCATAATTGCCCTGTTACTTTTTCTTTTTTAGGAGAGACGGGCTCTCGCTCTTGCTCAGGCTAGTTATGAACTCCTGAGATCAGGGATCTGCATACCTTGGCTTCCATGAATATGAGAAGTAGAGGCCGGAGGCACCATGCTTAGCAAACATGATTTTTATTTATTATCTCATTGGTATTTGTTGAGTAATTCTGTTATTAAATTTGCTCATCTTTCTTGGAATTTGGAACATTCTACCAAATTGTTCAATTTGATTATAAACCCTTAGGGATCATCAAACACCTCCTTTGACATTATTTACCTGGGGCATAGTTAAAACAAAAGTATATTCCCTATAGTCTCAGTCAGAAAACATGTTTAAGAACATAAAGAAGTTAAACTACCAATGTTACAAATATTTCTTTTAGAGATGGGACCTCACTGTGTTATCCAGTCTGTTCTTAAACTCCTGGCCTCAAGTGATCCTCCCACCTAAGCCTCCTACAGTACTGAGATTATGGACCAGTCACCAGGCCTGCCAAACCAGCATTTAGCCAAAACATGTTTCCACTTGGGCCTTAACTGGAGGGACTAAGTCTTGTTACCTCAAGGAAAGGGACAGATTTCTTAGAAGACCCAGGTAAAGCAGGGACAGAACCAGGGTCCAGAGCATGACATGGGGTCATTTGGTGTCACTCCCCTTGGAACTAGGGAGAAGCAGGATAG